TGACCTGTGAGATTATTATAATATTTGGGTATTCTTGTATTCGAATTTCAATTTTTTAAATCATGACCGTGAAAATTAAACCGAAATTCTAAAATGCATTTTCGTTTCGAAAAGATTAATTAAGTGGGGTTGTAAACTTCGTCAACCTCCAACATAATTCTATAACAATTCAGTTACCTCAGGATGCTGAACTCCACCTGGACATTTACGTAAACAGTATCTGGACAAAACCAGCAAGACAATGCATAGTTAGCATGTTGGAATGAACAGTAGGCAAGTCAGATGCAGAAACAGAATGATGAATGTTTACGTTTTCTGAGAGTGTTTCCTTCAAGTCGTGGTTTTTATCAGCAATTAAATTCGTTGCGTTAGTATATCACTCGCCCATGTGGTTAGACTATGTATTCGTCCCGTTAAGTTTTGAGGTCTAAATCGTAAACCATTACGGATAGTGGCATGGCAAATGTTAATGTATGATGTTGCTTGGATATCGACAAAGAAGAGGGAACCTGCAGTTGTCATTTCTGATTAATGGCAGTTAATAATCTCTATGCAATTGCCAACGAGGACTTCAGATTGAACTTTCAAGCATAGCGAAACTAGCGTACCCCATAGCCTGATTGGTGGGCGCCACACTGTCGTGATTAATATTCCCTATCACAACTGACGAGCCAGGGCGTCCATGGCTTAGTGTACGTGTTACTTTTAATGATGAAAGATTTCGGGTTCGAATCTCGAGTCCCTCACACATGGAGTCGGATATGACTGAATGATTATGGCTAATGTGTCAGAAATAGTCATTTCGGTCTTTGGTACCTTTGCCGGTGTCCTGTGGTCAGTTAAGTCCTTGTGAATGTGTTGGGTATTATTGTCCTAATATTACCTGTGGACGTATCTTTTTTATGTCACTTAGTCTTGCCGAACAGAAGGCTAATCGGGTCTCATGTATATCAGTAATGTAAATCAAGATCTTGTTGACTCCGAGAACGTGTTTTTAAGTGGCAGATTTGGGAATGGTGTCCTACTGATGGAGTTGTCTCCACTTTGTTAAAACCTAGACGGTTGCTGCAAAAACGTTCCTCAGGTTAAATATGTTATTTGGCGTAAAAACGGTAAAACGAATTTGCCGAAGGCAGGTTTAGCATTTTAGCAGTTATTCTACAATCTAGATGAGGGTGGTTGAATAAACGCATCCACAGTTGAAATAAGCGCTTTCTTTCTGCATACACCTGAAGGGAAGTGTATGCAAATGTTGTTTCGTGTTGCAATTTTTGT